GTTGTGTCGTCTGGAAGCAGGCGAATAGGTTGACGAGGAAGGGGTGCCGCACGCGAGTGGCCGTCTCGAAGATGCGCTTCTCGGCCATCAGCGACTCCACCTCATCCCTGGCGATGATGTCGCCCTTTTTCAGCGCTTTGATGGCGAAGTATTCGCCGGTCTTCTTGTGTTTGCTGAGGATTACCTGCGAATACAATGTGAGGAAATGGGTGTCAAATGTGTCGCTAACACAACAGAGACGGAGCCATACTTTGCCGAAATGTCCTCTTCCGAGAACACTAATAAACTCGAAGTTATCTAAACCGATGCCACCGCCGGAGAAGGGGTCGACTCGAGGGGTCAGCGGCTCGTCGTCAGGCATATCGACGATGGGCTCAGGACTGGGCGGATAGCCGGGCGGCCGTGCGTTCCGGTAGTTGTCGTACGCGTTGGTGTCGACGGACGAGACGTCGAGGTCGCGGAGTTTGCCGCTCACGGCGGACACGATGTCCGGCGACGGCTCGTGAACCACAGGACTGGTAGGGCTGATGGTGTCGGCCGACGACACGGATATCTCTTGAAGGAAATCGAACTCTTGGAGAGCGGAACCGATCTGCGAGTCGTCGTACGAGAGCCCACACGACGAAACAGATCCCGAGTTATTATTATTACTATTAATACTTTGATTCGCAGACAACAACTTCTTGGACGACGAGTCGGACGAGTCTGTCCTCTCCATCACGAGTCGTGGCTTAGGTTTGGGCGGATAGTCGGCGGCGGACACCGACAGGTCTACGGAGGGCTTGGGCGCCGCCGCGGCCGTCGTCGTCGCGGTAGTGGCGATGTTCTGGTCGGACGAGGCTTGAGGTAAGGACCGCTTCATGAGCCGACCCCATGTGGCGACGTTGATGTTCATCTGATTGGGTCGCAGGAAGTTCTTGCCCTTATGGCGGAACAGCTTCTGGCGCTGCAGTTTGGGCTTCCGGGAGATCATGGGATTCAAGAACTTAATCTCCGCGAAGAGTATGCCCTGCGGTTCCAAATGCAGAGCAATCCCGTGCCGGTTGTCGTCTATGAACTCCTCGAGCCGTACGAACTTCAGGGCGCAGAGGGAGCGCCAGTCGTGCCACAGGATCTGTATCTCGAGCTCACGGCTCCGGTCGANATAGCGATATATGCCTTGAAATATATAGTGAATTATAAATTGATGACTATTTGATAATATAAATAGCAGTCAATATTGTCGGCCTCCCCTATCTGACTCTAACCATAAACCGTACGGAGTTTTTAAAGCATTACTTTTAGTGCCAATTCATAGACTACTGGATGACACAAAAGCAGCTTATTTTCGGATCTCTCAAAAACTTTCTCTCAGCAACACTTGTGAGCAGTTTGAGTGATACTGCCTTACGTTATATACCATTCATTATATATCTATACCGACAAAGTTTTCATCGAAATACACGCCAACTATTGCCCACTTGTGTGCCACGAATGCATCGCTAACTACCATTCAATTCCTATATTCTGTGAGCTATGCCATCGTTGCAGCGCTCGATAGGCACACAAAATCATCGAATATTCCCGTCATATGTAACCATATCTCGAGAATAACTAAACTATAAATCACACAAAAATCTAAACTCATTAAAATTCTTACACTCAAATATATAATCAGTGCAAAACAACTTTATAAATCCATATTAACACACAATGACCAACATATAAATCGCTACCAAACTATGCCGGAAACAAATCTCACGACACGTAAACCCTCAGGAATCGCTTCAAACAGTGTGTTCGCCAGCGTATAGGCGCCGACAGAGGGCGTCACCAGTGCCTGTAGGCATCGGATGGGTCGGTGAGTCGTGTGGTGTCCTATGCAGTGAGTGTCAGCCTCTCAACAGTCGACCAAAGCGTACAAAACGACAATTACTTTGAAATATTGTTTGCGTTTCTCAGTGTCTACTCGAGAGGGCTATTGTATGGCTCGCAGTGACCACTCATTCACGCCGTCAACGCATACATGAGTTGTCATTAAAAACACTGTTTTTTACAATAATTTTGTTTTTACTTGAGTTTTGAGATTCAGTTTTCGTATCGTTTCTTGAGTTTGTTTTTAGACTTTTGTTTTGTTTGTTATTGTTATGCATGTTATGCGTTACGCAAACCCCGGGTGACACCGATGTCTCGGCAACTGATCCCACGTTACGGTCGCCGCCGCTGAAGACATAATAACCACGGATTCGCTGGCATTCAAGTTAACCCTAAGAGTGGTTCCGTTGTATTGAGTTTTTTCTGTTGTTTTGTTTACACCAATAGTTTACAGCAATTAGTGTTAAGTTTGTATTGTTATCATCACTACTACTATATATCACCCACTCGTGAGTGCCATCACCACCACTGACACCATTCCCGTCGGACACCATCACTGAATGGACAATGACTTCCATCTATGAGTTGTCACTGAAGTACGGCTTACCGCAAGAGCTGACGGACAGCGATCTGCAGCTGAAGCTCAAAGACCTGAAACTCTACGTCAAAGAGGAGATCCGCAAAGAGCTGAAGATCAAAGAGGGCGCCGAAAACCTCCGCAGAGTCACCACCGATAAGAAGTCGCTGTCGAACGTCAACTCCATCGTCAAGAAGTCCAACAATAAGCTACAGGAGCTCCAGGAGGACCTCCAGGAGCTGAATGCCCACATCGTCGTCAACCACAGCCACAACTCGATCGGCGACGCCTTCAACGACCAGTCGTCGGCCGTGGGCTCCGATCGCGAGGACGCCTCGTCGGACACCACCGCCGGCGATGTGCCGGTGATGTCGGCCAACACGCAGCGACTCCTGTCGCTCGAGAAGCAGTTGATGATAGAGATGAAGGTGAAGACGGGGGCCGAGAATATGATCCAAATGTACAGCGGCTCCAACTCGAGGGACAGTCGCCGCAAGCTCTTAGCCGAAGCGCAGCAGATGCTGGCCGACGCCAAGGCTAAGATGGAGTACATCCGGATGATGATCATCAAAGTGAAGCAGAGGGACGCCATCGGCCTCAACAGCGCGCACGACAACAACGGCCACTCGTCCGGCAACTCGAGCCTGTGTTCGCCGGGAGGCGACCCCTCCGGCGGCAAACTGCCGGAGATTATGTCGCCGCTCGAGTTGCGCACCGAAGAGCTCCGGCATCGGCTGAAAGTGGAGTGCGCTGTAGTGGACGGCGCCAAGAATGTCATCAAACTGTTGCAGTCGTCCAAAGTGACCGACAAGAAGGCCCTACAGGAGGCCCAGTCCTCCCTATTCGAGTCGTCGCAAAAGGTGGACGTCTTGCGGAAGGGGCTCGACGTGTGTCGCCAGCAGCTGCCGCCCGGTTCGCCCAAATCGGCCGCTCTTAAACTGGAGCTCGAGTCGAGTCAGTCGGTGACGCCCACCATCTACTCGCCGACCATAGCCTACAGCTCCGGCCGCCACTCCGTCCAGAGCACGACACCGGCGACCATCACGAAGGCGGCGGCCGTCACCGGGAAGCTAGAGGTGCGGCTCATCGGGTGTCAGGGGCTGCTGGAAGACGTGCCGGGCCGGTCGCGCACCAACTCCATGGCCGGCGACGGCATGCGATCCGTGGACCGCTCGAAAGGCTTGTGGCGGACGTCGTCGCGCAGCTATTCCATCAAAGACGAGATCTCCAACGAGATAATGACTGTCCTTAAGCTGGACAACGTGTCGGCCGGACAGACGACGTGGAAGCCGTGCTCGCAGAAGGCGTGGGACCAGCGCTTCAGCCTAGACCTCGACCGGAGCCGTGAGCTCGAGATACAGATCCTGTGGCACGACTGGCGCTCCCTCTGCGCCCTGA